TTGCATATTCAAGCCTGTCTCAGAATACAACACTGCCCCTTTAAGGCTCTCCTTGAGGATGGTTGGCCAGTGGCCACCCTTGGTAGCCTATAAAATATTACAATTACAACCAAATACTTTTTATGTCTTTATAAAATCATTCCCACCAGGGCTCGAAATGAAGGGTGTCCTGTCCTCTCTGGGACGATATGTATACGGTTCAAAACAGACTCTAGGACAGTTCTAGACGACAGATCCAGTATTCATACCACTGCACATAAAAAATTGAAACAAACAATGAGGCTGATGCAACAGATCAGACCGTTTAGCTTAAAATGTTGATAAAGTTTTATTTCTTCATATTATATATAAACTCAACAAAGTGCAGGAGAAACTCCAAGATGTCGTACCAGTGTAGCAGCAAGAGGTCATTAAAGAGAAAGACTTACCTGTGAGAAGGTCCACACGCACTGGAAGACCTCGAGAAATGTTCACATATGAAAGTCTGGTGCAACCGTCATTCCAGTCATGGAGACCAGGAGCAAACGCAGTCACACGAAGTCCTTACTTGATGCCTGGAAACATGATGACCTATCCAGTGTTCCAAGGAAGTTACTGTTACAAAAGACCACTAGTTTGGACATACTAGAAGCTGACAAGACACTGACTTGATTAGACAAAGTAATAGATGCCAGCAGTCATCAAAAAGAGGAGGGAAGAGAGTAATGGGTTGAAAAACGAAGTCATAAAAATTAGACATCCCTTTATTTATTTTTAACCAAAGTTTATTTGTCTTATCAATCTAACTCTTATTTTCTACATGCTTTAGCAGTAGTTAGTCCATTCCAATAGATGGCGATGTTGCACTGTGGTAGTGGGGGAAGCAACAAGTTCTGGCCAAGCACCCGCACCATTCCTCAGAATAAAGAAAGTGCCAGACCTGTCAAGACTATATGTTATGTGTCCATTTCTCTTTATCACTACAGGTATGTAACGGCACGTTTAAACTTTCCAATATCGAAAGAACGTCATAACATGCTAGGTAACAAACCAGCCAAAGGATTATCACATTTGGGGAAAGTTTGAGGTGTTATTTTTGTGTCAAACTGAGTTAGTGAAGAACGTGATTGAGAATGAATGAGAGTGTATGTTAGCTTTATGCTAGCTGTGGTAAAGTCACATAGAGACTTTGGGTTTTTCTGAACAAATGTACATGATTTCCTGGAAGTCATTTCATAAAGAATCCATTTATTTGAAGTGTCTGAGTTCGTTTTGCATGTTATTGGTTCTGTGTAAAATTGTGCACACAAGCTGGTAAAATGGCGGCGCGCCCTCTGCCTGTGTCAACTGACTTTAGTGCAGGCAGTGCAGGTGCAAGAGAGAGAGACAATTTCATGGTTGCACTACTGTTTTGAAGCTGAATGTAATGTTTATCCGTTTTCTACATGTGTAGCAATAATCAGACATGTCAGTTGTTTATCTTTATCTATAAGTGTTTCTATTGTGTGAATGAGAAAATATACTATAGGTAAAGTGCACTTATGTTGTGTAAGTTAATGTGTGCACTTGTATGTGAATTATTGTTTTGATGTCATTACTTATCAATCCATTGTAATGGATTAATAACTAAATATTTGAAATGCGATAATTGAATAAGAAAAGGTAAATAGAGAATAAAGAAAGTGGCAGAACTGTCAAGACGATAACTTTTGTGTCCGTTTCTCTTGATCACTACAGGCCACCTTCAGATTCAGTCTGAGGCCGGTAACATAGACAAACATTTTCAGGTCTTGCCATAGATTTTCAAGTAGATTTAAGTCAAAAATGTAACTCGGCCACTCAGGAGCATTCACTGTCTTCTTGGTAAGCAACTCCAGTATAGATTTGGCCTTGTTCTTTAGGTTATTGTCCTGCTGAAAGGTAAATTAATCTCCCAGTGTCTGATGGAAAGCAGACTGAACCAGGTTTTCCTCTACAATTTTGCCTGTGCTTAGCTCCATTCAGTTTATTTTTTATCATGAAAAACATCCCAGTCCTTAACGATTACAAGCATACCCAATACATGATGCAGCCACCACTATGGTTGAAAATAATGGAGAGTGGTACTCAGTAATGTGTTGTATTGGATTTGCCCCAAACATACAGTGAGGGAAAAAAGTATTTGATCCCCTGCTGATTTTGTACGTTTGCCCACTGACAAAGAAATGATCAGTCTATAATTTTAATGGTAGGTTTATTTGAACAGTGAGAGACAGAATACCAACAAAAAAAACCTGAAAAACCCATGTCAAAAATGTTATACATTTATTTGCATTTTAATGAGGGAAATAAGTATTTGACCCCCTCTCAATCAAAAAGATTTCTCGCTCCCAGGTGTCTTTTATACAGGTAACGAGCTGAGATTAGGAGCACACTCTTAAAGGAAGTGCTCCTAATCTCAGTTTGTTACCTGTATAAAAGACCCCTGTCCACAGAAGCAATCAATCAATCAGATTCCAAACTCTCCACCATGGCCAAGACCAAAGAGCTCTCCAAGGATGTCAGGGACAAGATTGTAGACCTACACAAGGCTGGAATGGGCTACAAGACCATCGCCAAGCAGCTTGGTGAGAAGATGACAACAGTTGGTGTGATTATTCGCAAATGGAAGAAACACAAAAGTACTGTCAATCTCCCTCGGCCTGGGGCTCCATGCAAGATCTCACCTCGTGGAGTTGCAATGATCAAGAGAACGGTGAGGAATCAGCCCAGAACTACACGGGAGGATCTTGTCAATGATCTCAAGGCAGCTGGGACCATAGTCACCAAGAAAACAATTGGTAACACACTACGCCCTGAAGGACTGAAATCCTGCAGCGCCCGCAAGGTCCCCCTGCTCAAGAAAGCACATATACATCCCCGTCTGAAGTTTGCCAATGAAAATCTGAATGATTCAGAGGAGAACTGGGTGAAAGTGTTGTGGTCATTTGAGACCAAAATGGAGCTCTTTGGCATCAACTCCACTCGCCGTGTTTGGTGGAGGAGGAATGCTGCCTATGACCCCAAGAACACCATCCCCACCGTCAAACATGGAGGTGGAAACATTATGCTTTGAGGGTGTTTTTCTGCTAAGGGGACAGGACAACTTCACCGCATCAAAGGGACGATGGACGGGGCCATGTACCGTCAAATCTTGGGTGAGAACCTCCTTCCCTCAGCCAGGGCATTGAAAATGGGTTGTGGATGGGTATTCCAGCATGACAATGACCCAAAACACACGGCCAAGGCAACAAAGGAGTGGCTCAAGAAGAAGCACATTAAGGTCCTGGAGTGGCCTAGCCAGTCTCCAGACCTTAATCCCATAGAAAATCTGTGGAGGGAGCTGAAGGTTCGAGTTGCCAAACGTCAGCCTCGAAACCTTAATGACTTGGAGAAGATCTGCAAAGAGGAGTGGGACAAAATCCCTCCTGAGATGTGTGCAAACCTGGTGGCCAACTACAAGAAACGTCTGACCTCTGTGATTGTCAACAAGGGTTTTGCCACCAAGTACTAAGTCATGTTTTGCAGAGGGGTCAAATACTTATTTCCCTCATTAAAATGCTAATCAATTTATAACATTTTTGACATGCGTTTTTCTGGATTTTTTTGTTGTTATTCTGTCTCTCACTGTTCAAATAAACCTACCATTAAAATCATAGACTGATCATTTCTTTGTCAGTGGGCAAATGTACAAAATCAGCAGGGGATCAAATACTTTTTTCCCTCACTGTAACACTTTGTATTCAGGACAAAAAGTTATTTGCTTTGCCACATTTCTTTCAGTATTACTTTAGTGCCTTGTTGCAAACCGGATGCATGTTTTGGAATGTTTTTATTCTGTACAGGCTTCCTTCTTTTCACTCTGTCAATTAGGTTAGTATTGTGGAGTAACTACAATGTTGTTGATCCATCCTTAGTTTTCTCCTATCACAGCCATTAAACTCTGTAACTGTTTTAAAGTCACCATTGGCCTCATGGTGAAATCCCTAAGCAGTTACCTTCCTCTCCAGCAACTGAGTTAGTAAGGACACCTGTATCATTGTAGTTAATGGGTGAATTGATGCACCATCCAAAGTGTAATTAATAACTTCAAATGGATATTCAATGTCTGCTTTTTTTTTACCCATCTACCAATAGGTGCCCTTCTTTGCGAGGCATTGGAAAACCTCCTTGGTCTTTGTGGTTGAATCTGTGTTTTAAAATTCACTGCTTGACTCAGGGACCTTACAATTATCTGTATTTGTGGGGTACAAAGATGCGGTAGTCATTCAAATATAATGACCCTATTACAATCTCGACCTTATAATCTTGCTAAACACAATTATTGCACACAGAATGAGTCCATGCAACTTATGTGACTTGTTAAGCAAATTCCTACTCCGGAACTTATTTAGGCTTGCCATAACAAAGTGGTTGAATACTTATTGACTCAAGACATTTCAGCTTTTCATTTTCAATTAATTTGTAAAAATTTAAAAAAAACATCATTCCAATTTGACATTATGGGATATTGTGTGTAGGCCAGTGACAAATTAATTTATATTTAATCTTTTTTAAATTCAGGCTATAACACAACATTTGGAAAAAGTCAAGGGGTGTGAATACTTTCTGAAAGCATTGCAGTGTTTTAGAATGAAACTCTCAAAAGATAAAAAAATTATATTTTTTTCTCTCCAAAATGCTATTCACAAATGCCACCGCAATTCAACAATGACCCTATTACAATCTCCACCTTATAGCAGCGGACCAACCACAGTTTGTGACCTCAAAGACATTGCTTCGATTGGCTCTGTTTGATTACACAGGAGATTGTTACTTAGCAGTCCACTCCACTCCGTCCCCTGGACAAGCAAAGCACAACACATCCACAAGAAGAAAGAGAAGAAAGAAACCAGCCGTTATCCTCCTTCTTATTCTGTGAAAATAACTGCATTTATCATCGAAAAACTTGAGATACCTTCGTCAAACAGATTATTTCTTAGAATAGGTGAGGCTTGTTGAAAATGGAGTACTCATGCAAGTCTATTAGATATCCTGAAGAGAGACGACCAACAAGTAGCAAGGTATGTAGGCTATACGTTGCACCATTATGTAGTGAACAAAATTGACATTTTATGTCCTCAGGACAGAAGACTATCATCTGTCCACCGCAAATGTCTATTTATTTTTATAACCTCTTTCTTGGTGAACTTTGCTTTTTGGTAAACCAATGCCTGATAGGGCCAAGTGTACTAAGCTCCAATACTTATTAATTTCGATTGCTTTCCTATTAGTTTGTAGAGCTCCATGTTCTGTTTGTACCAAATGAACAGTGGAACTTAAAACTGAATAGAGTTTCGGTTGAAGCCATAGAGAGCTTCATATCTGCTGGATTCATCAGGTGAGATATTTATTAAATGAGACCAGTATAGCTTACAATTTGTAGGAATATTTGTAATAGAAAATATGTACAGAATATGTAAAGAAAACTGCAGATTAAACAGTCAACAAGATACTTTGATGGTTGTTGTCTTCACCTATATTGTATTGATGTGAAGATGTTTTTGAACATAGTGCCTCTTCACTGTAAATTATGTTGTTTTCATGCCAGGGTGTCTCCTGATATATCTCTCAGAACTCTCAGGAGTGAGCTCGGCATTCTCCTCGGAGCTGAGAGAGATATTGACAAGTTTTCATTTCTAAAATGCGTGGGCCAAAGCTTGGCATTGGTGAGTATAGCAGGCCTAGTTCAGGGATACATGTACATTACATTTTAATCATTTAGCAGACGCTCTTATCCAGAGCGACTTACAGTTAGTGAGTGCATACATTTTTCATACTTGCCCCCCGTGGGAATCTAACCCACAACCCTGGCGTTGCAAGCGCCATGCTCTACCAACTGAGCTACAGGAGGCCTCCAATTGCTTATAGCTTGTGTTTCATTTGGCAAACTGGCACGAGGTGATTCATTGTACCACTGCACTTGTATTTTTTTAACAGGTCAAAGCCAAACAAGAAAGAGATCTGAAAGTGAAGTATTTTGCCCCTCCATATGTATGTACCGTACATTCAGCTTTAATTTTTCAATTTGTTTTATATTGTGCCTTCAGAAAGTATTCGTACCGCTTGACTTATTCCACATTTTGTTGTGTTACAGCCTGAATTTACACACAATACCCCATAATGACAAAATGTAGAATAAGTCAAGGGGTATGAATACTTTCTGAAGGCACTGTAGATAGTATAGTATTAATATAAGTGAAAGAAAGAAATCTATAAATAACAAGCTTGTAGCATGCCCTATCCTTATGTCATGATCCTCTCCTACTCTCCAGGCCCCTCAGCCAGAGCTGTACCTGTTGCCCATGGTGGAGAGCGTCAACAGTGTCTGCTCACAGTCCCTCACCCCTGACACCCACAGCCACTCCACAGACCCCCAGACTTACTACACTGCCAGAGTGCGAGGAATGCCAACAGGGACAAAAGAACCTTTTAAATTCCCTCAGATCCCCCAGGGTCTCCAGCCACAGCCCCCTCCCTCCCCCAGCCCCGATGAGGAGGAGGCGGAGGAAGTGGAGAGCTATAGCTCCACAGAGGAGAACGAGGAGGACCTTCTCTCCTCTCAGAAGCCTTGGTGCGCTGAGGATGACCACCTCCTGAGGAAAGCCCAGGGGCCACCCCAGCGTGTCATAGAGGCTAAAGGTGAGAGTTAAAGGGATAGTTCATTACAAAATTAAAGTTTTTTTCGTAGATGTTTTCGTACCCGAAAAGTGGTCTTGTATGAAATTGTCTGAAAAACTTAGATTTTGGGGTGAACTAACCCCTTAAACTGATGTTTCTAAAAGCAAGTCAACCTTGTACTTGTTGTAACAGACAGACTTGTTGTTACAACCATTTACTTTCAATCCATTTGGGCAGAATCAGTCGTGAAGGTGGCGCCAGCTAAGAAGAAACAGCGTTTCAAGAGAAACCGAGCCAGAGATTCGGGGGTTCCAATGTCACTGGAAGATCATGATTCTGTGTTTTCTCCCACCCAAGACAGGTAACACACAGAGGAACCCTTTTGCCGTAACAGAGAGGAAGAGATCTACCAACTTCAGAGCAATTTAAACCCTGGTTACAGGCACTGAATTTCTAGATTATAGTCATTTGAAATACAGTACCAGTCAAAAGTTTGGACACACCTTCTCATTCAAGGGTTTTTCTTTATTTTTACTATTTTCTACATTGTAGAATAATAGTGAAGACATCAAAACTATAAAATAACACATATGGAATCATGTAGTAACCAAAAAAGTGTTAAACAAATCAAAATATATTTTATATTTGAGGTTCTTCAAATAGCCACCCTTTGCCTTGATGACAGCTTTGCACACTCTTGGCATTCTCTCAAACAGCTTCAACTGGAATGCTTTTCCAACAGTCTTGATGGAGTTCCCACATATGCTGAGCACTTGTTGGCTGCTTTTCCTTCACTCTGCCGTCCGACTCATCCCAAACCATCTCATTTGGGTTGAGGTCGGGGGATTGTGGAGGCAGGTCATCTGATGCAGCACTCCATCACTCTCCTTCTTGGTAAAATAGCCCTTACACAGCCTGGCGGTGTTTTGGATTATTGTCCTGTTGAAAACAAATGATAGTCCCACTAAGCCCGAACCAGATGGGATGGCGTATCACTACAGAATGCTGTGGTAGCCATGCTGGTTAAGTGTGCCTTGAATTCTAAATAAATCACAGACAGTGTCACCAGCAAAGCACCCCCACACCATAACATCTCCTCCTCCATGCTTTAAGGTGGGAACTACATATGCAGCGATCATCCGTTCACCCACACCACGTCTCACAAAGACACGGCGGTTGGAACCAAAAATCTCCAATTTGGACTCCAGACCAAAGGACAAATGTCCACTGGTCTAATGTCCATTGCTCGTGTTTCTTGGCCCAAGCAGGTCTCTTCTTATTATTTGTGTCCTTTAGTAGTGGTTTCTTTGCAGCAATTCGACCATGAAGGCCTGATTCACACAGTCCCCTCTGAACAGTTGATGTTGAGATGTGTCTGTGTCTTGAACTCTGTGAAGCATTTATTTGGGCTGCAATTTCTAAGGCTGGTAACTCTAATGAACTTAACCTCTGCAGTAACTCTGGGTCTTCCATTCCTGTGGCGGTCCTCATGAGAGCCAGTTTCATCATAGCACTTGATGGTTTTTGCGACCGCACTTGAAGAAACGTTCAAAGTTCTTGAAATGTTCCGTATTGACTGTCCTTCATGTCTTAAAGTAATGGACTGTCGTTTCTCTTTGCTTATTTGAGCTGTTCGTGCCATAATATGGACTTGGTCTTTTACCAAATAGGGCTATCTTCTGTGTACCCCCCCTGCCCACCTTGTCACAACACAACTGAACCATTAAGGAGGAAAGAAATCCACAAATTAACTTTTTAAGAAGGCACACCTGTTAATTGAAATGCATTCCAGGTGACTACGTCATGAAGTTGGTTGAGAGAATGCCAAGAGTGTGCAAAGCTGTCATCAAGGCAAAGGGTGGCTATTTGAAGAATCTCAAATATAAAATATATTTTGATTTGTTTAACACTTATTTGGTTACTACATGATTCCATATGTGTTATTTCATAGTTTTGATGTCTTCACTATTATTCTACAATGTAAAAAATAGTAAAAATAAAGAAAAACCCTTGAATGAGAAGGTGTGTCCAAACTTTTGACTAGTAGTGTAAATAAGCACAATATTGTTTATTTTTCTCTTTGGAGGTTCAGGAAATATAAAGATGCACAGACACAGAAGTATATCAGGATTAAACGAAAAAATGAGGTAAGAGATGCTTGCGTGCTGCTTACATACTTATTGAAATGGCATTATGTTACAATTACCATATTTTTCTGTCATAGCCAGCCTATTGAAAATCTGCAAGCCCATTCAATTGTGTTTTCTTGAAGGTGTAGTTCCATCAAGTACTGCACACTAAGGGAGGTTGTTGAGACAACTCAAGAGTAGTTTTATTGTAAATGTCCAGCGCCTTGTAAAAAACGTGTGGCTTTGTTACTGCTTCAAAATTCCACAGCCAGCAGGTGGGTTGAATTGAAAAGGGGGTCTTAATCAGGGAAATACACTACCAGTCAAAAGTTTGGACACCTACTCATTCCAGAGTTTTTCTTTATTTTTAAAATTTTTTACATTGTAGAATAATAGTGAATACATCAAAACTATGAAATAACACATATGGAATGATGTAGTAACCAAAAAAGTATTAAACAAATCAAAACATATTTTATATTTGAGATTCTTCAAATAGCCACCCTTTGCCTTGATGACAGCTTTGCACACTCTTGGCATTCTCTCAACCAGCTTCATGACGTAGTCACCTGGAATGCATTTCAATTAAAGGTGTGCCTTGTTAAAAGTTAATTTGTGGAATTTATTTCCTTAATGCATTTGAGCCAATCAGTTGTGTTGTGACAAGGTAGGGGTGGTATACAGAAGATAGCCCTATTTGGTAAAAGACCAAGTCCATATTATGGCAAGAACAGCTCAAATAAGCAAAGAGAAACGACAGTCCATCATTACTTTAAGACATGAAGGTCAGTCAATACGGGACATTTCAATAACTTTTAAAGTTTCTTCAAGTGCAGTCGCAAAAACCATCAAGCACTATGATGAAACTGGCTCTCATGAGGACCGCCACAGGAATGGAAGACCCAGAGTGACCTCTGCTGCAGAGGTTAAGTTCATTAGCGTTACCAGCCTCAGAAATTGCAGCCCAAATAAATGCTTCACAAAGTTCAAGTCACAGACTCATCTCAACATCAACTGTTCAGAGGGGACTGTGTGAATCAGGCCTTCATGGTCGAATTGCTGCAAAGAAACCACTACTAAAGGACACCAATAAGAAGAAGAGACCTGCTTGGGCCAAGAAACACGAGCAATGGACATTAGACTGGTGGAAATTTGTCCTTTGGTCTGGAGTCCAGATTTGAGATTTTTGGTTCCAACCGCCGTGTCTTTGTGAGAAGCGGTGTGGGTGAACGGATGATCTCCGCATGTGTAGTTCCCACCGTAAAGCATTGAGAAGGAGATGTTATGGTGTGGGGGTGCTTTGCTGGTGATGCTGTCTGTGATTTATTTAGAATTCAAGGCACACAACCAGCATGGCTACCACAGCATTCTGCAGCGATACGCCATCCCTTCTGGTTTGGGCTTAGTGAGACTATCATTTGTTTTTCAACAGGACAATGACCCAACACACCTCCAACACACCTCCAGGCTGTGTAAGGGCTATTTTACCAAGAAGGAGAGTGATGGAGTGCTGCATCAGATGACCTGGCCTCCACAATCCCCCGACCTCAACCCAATTGAGATGGTTTGGGATGAGTCGGACAGCAGAGTGAAGGAAAAGCAGCCAACAAGTGCTCAGCATATGTGGAAACTCCTTCAAGACTGTTGGAAAAGCATTCCAGTTGAAGCTGGTTGAGAGAATGCCAAGAGTGTGCAAAGCTGTCATCAAGGTGGCTATTTGAAGAATCTCAAATATAAAATGTACTTTTTTGGTTACTACATGATTCCATGTGTGTTATTTCATAGTTTTGATGTCTTCACTATTATTCTACAATGTAGAAAATATTAACAATAAAAAATAAACGTTGAATGAGTTGGTTTGTCCAAACTTTTGACTGGTACTGTACGTCCAGAGGAGTACTTAAACTATTTTCTTGGCATGCAGACAGAAATCGATTCGCTTCAACAACAAAAATAAAATCACATTTGACCAATTGTTTATTTTCATGTAGGTCCCTGGACACCCAGTGACTATGCCTACACCTACCGAGTACGCTTCTCCATTCCCCGCCCCAACCCTGGGCACTCGTAAAATGGCTGCCCCTGTCTTCCTAACAAGTAGTAAGCAGGCATTTCTGTGATATTGTCTCAGTCATCCATATTGTTGTTGTAGAAATGTAAGGCGCAAATTACATGGTATGTTTCCTCCCTCCCTCAGGAGATGAACTGATAGAGAAAATTAAGATGGCAAAAGAGGAGAGAAAGCAACTAGAACAGACAAGACAAGAGTTGCTGAGAAAAGGAAAAGACTTGCTGGCACAGAACAGACACCGTCGAAATCAAGGTGGTGTATGTCTGGACTAGTTATTTTGCACCCCCTTTTCAGGATATGACAAACGCACGTATGACCCCCTTCTAATGTATTATCATCTCATTATGATCCAGATTAAATACCAACAAGCTTGTTTAACTATAAAAATAAGCTGTGCGACAGGGCACAGCAAAATAAATTACTGGCCTGCCCTACAACATAGAAATGACTATTGTGATGCATAATTGCCATGGTTTGCCATTGTGATGCATATTTTATAATAATAATAATAATAATAATAATAATAATAATAACTAGATTGAAACCCTTGAATGAGTAGGTGTGTCCAAACTTTTGACTGGTACTGTATGTGGTCACCAATTGTGTGGTTGTGGTCAGAAGTTGTGTGGTTGTGGTCAGTTGTTGTAGTCAGTAGATGAGTGGTCAGTAGTTGTGTGGTGAGAAGTTGTGTGGTTGTGGTCAGAAGTTGTGTTTTGTGGTCAGTGGTTGTGGTCAGTAGTTGTGTGGTTGTGGTCAGAAGTTGAGTGGTTGTGGTCAGTAGTTGTGGTCATTAGATTTGGTCAGAAGTTGTGTTTTTGTGGTCAGTAGTTGTGTGGTTGTGGTCAGAAGTTGTGTGGTTGTGGTCACTAGATGTTGTCAGAAGTTGTGTTTTTGTGGTCAGTAGTTGTGGTCACTAGATGTGGTAAGCAGTTGTGTCGTTGTGCTCAGAAGTTGTATGGTTGTTGTCAGTAGTAGTGTGGTTGTGGTCACTAGATGTGGTCAGCAGTTATGTGGTTGTGGTCAGAAGTTGTGGTCAGTGGTTGTGTGGTTGTGGTCAGTTGTTTTGGTCAGTAGTTGTGGTCAGTATTTGTGGGGTTGTGGTCTGTAGTTGTATGGGTCAGTTGTTGTGTGGTCAATATTTGTGTGGTTGCGGTCAGTAATTGTGGTCACTCTTCACCCTCGTCATAATTTCTGCCCTCTGTGTCTGTGAGTATTCATAGCAACGACACCATTTAGGCTGTTCAATGATGACTCAGAGACCTGTTAGTAGACGTCAACTAGCAACTTTTTAAAACTCAAAACTCAGACAAACAACTACGTGTTTATTGGTAGAAGCTATTCCTAATCCACTCTATCCAGTCAGAGGGGTACAGCCCAGCCTTCTCTTTAGAGACAGGCAAACGAGCCTGTTAAGTTATTTAGTGCACTTAGCATGATCCTGGAAAAGGAGGACAAAGCTAGAAAGCATTAGAAATATTCTCTTTATCATTCCAGGTCGTCCAGATCGGGAAAGTATTGTTAATATTAACGCTATCTGTTTTGTCTGAAACATATTGATAAATCATGGGAATTTAAAGAACTATGAAGACATACATTCCAGCGAGCCAAACGTTGCTAGGCAACAGTAGCCTTGGCAACACTGCTGCCTTTTGGCTAAAGCAAGTGAGAAACATGCTAACATACGGTAAGTTTGTGCTTTAATATTAACTAAATACTGCACTCTGACCCACAAAATGTCTTTGCTAGATTCATGATAGTGTTGTTAGACAAATCAAGGAAAGTGAACTTCAAAATGTGATGTAGTTTTACTGCAATTTGCAGCTGTTGTTGGTAAATTAATCTGCTAGCTTCTGACATGATTTACTGTAGCTAGAAAGAGAGCAGTTGATGGGTTCCTAAAACAGCTCTCTCTAGAGATTGGTAGACGGTATTCCTAATCCATTTTCGGATTTTACAAGCAGAGAAGTAGGGGAAGATTTCATACCTTGGAATATTTGTGTCTAACTTGTTGGGTTAGTGGTCAAAACGGCAGTTGCTTGGAAAAAGGTGGAAGAAAATGTGCAGTTACTAAAACAGCCAGAGTGAATATTGTGGTTCCGCGAACAGATATGAAATCCTTTCAAATTCCCATCGATAGTCAGTATTGGTCAGCAGTAGTGGTCAGTAGTTGTGTGGTTCAGTACTTGTAGTCAGTCTCTTCACTCTCCTCATAATTTTGGCCCTCTGTGTCTGAGTATCCTAACAACGGTTCCGTTTTGGAATCTCAAAGATGACATAGAGAGCTGTGGCTAGAAGATATCAGGCGATGGGTTACTAAAACAGCTCTACCTAGAGATTGGTACACACAATTTCTAATCCGCTTTCTGATTTGACAAGCAGAGAAGTCATGTAAGTCGCTCTGGATAAGAGCGTCTGCTAAATGACTAAAATGTAAATGTAAAATGTAAGTAGTAGATTTCCTACTTTTAAAATGGTTCTATAACTTGTTGCGTTAGTGGTCAAAACGGCAGTTGTTTGGAAAGTAGTGAATCTGCTAGCTTCTGACATGATTTACTGCAGCTGGAAAGAGAGCACACGATGGGTTACTAAAACGGCTCTAGTTACAGATTGGTACGCACGATTTCGAATCTGATTGCGGAATTGACAAGCAGAGAAGTACGGCAGTTGTTTGGGAAAAGTTGGAAGAACACGTGGTAATGCAGTTACTAAAACAGCTGTGCCGTAAGTTCCGTAGTGAATATTTTGATTCCGCAAACAGATATGAATAGCAGAGAAGTAGACGAATATCCCATACCCTCTAACTTTTTGTCTAACTTGTTGGGGTAGTGTTCAAAACGGCAATTTGCAAAAATGTTATAGAAAATGTTGTTGATGCGGTTCACTTAAACTGCTGTATCCTTTTATCCAAATATTTTATGTCCAAACGCCAGATTTGAGTAGCAGAGAAGAAAAGGAAGATGGGAACGCTTTAACTTTTTGTCTAAGTTGTTGCATAGTGGAAAAACTTGCTGAATCGTGTCAAAAGTTGCATGATTTCACTTACAGAAAACGGACTGAAAAATGTATAATGTAAAAAGTATAACAGATATCAAAAAGTTGTATACAAGCAACTCGATCGAGACCGTTCCGCATGTTTTGAAGTTTGAACGTTGTTTCTAGCTTAAACGGTGTAGGAGGAGTAGCGTGCAGAATAATAATAATAATAATAACTAGATGGTAACTTTACAAGTAAAGTTGTGGGGCTTGCAAAAGCTCTTTAAAAGTTTTTTTGTGGTAATGAAAGAAGTTTAAAAAATTGCACTTTGATTATATTATTCCCATTTTGAAATCATTTTTAATTCCCATCAATAGTCAGTAGATTTGGTCAGAAGTTGTGGTCAGTAGTAGTGGTCAGTAGTTATGTGGTTCAATTGTTGTGGTCAGTAGTTGTGTGGTTGTGGTCAAGTTCTGTGGATATGGTCAGTAGTTAGATGTTTGGTCAGAAGTTGTGTGGTCAGAAGTTGTGTGGTTGTTGTCAGTACTTGTGGTCCTTAGATATGGTCAGAAGTTGTGTGGTTCTGGTCAAAAGAAAGTTCTGTGGATATGGTCAGAAGTTGTGTGGTTGTGGTATGTAATTGTGTGGTTGTGGTCACTAGATATGGTAAGCAGTTGTGTGGTTGCAGTCAGAAGTTGTGTGGTTGTGGTCAGTAGTAGTGTGGTTGTTGTCAGTAGTTGTAGTCATTAGATGTGGTCAGAAGTTATGTTTTTGTGGTCAGTGGTTGTGGTCAGTAGTTGTGTGGTTGTGGTCAGAAGTTGAGTGGTTGTGGTCAGAAGGTTTGTGGTTCTGGTCAGAAGTTGTGTGGTTGTGGTCACTAGATGTGGTCAGAAGTTGTGTTTTTGTGGTCAGTAGTATGTCGAATATCTAAACTGGGGCTCTTGCTGCACAATCCCCACAATAATAATAAGAAGTATGTCGAATTTCTAAGCTGGGGATCTTGCTGCGCAAGTCCCACATTCATATTAAGACGTATGTCGAATATCTAAGCTGGGGATCTTGCTTTGCAAGCCCCACAATAAGTAGTATGTTGAATATCTAAGCTGGGGCTCTTGCTGTGCCAGCCCCACAATAATAAGAAGCATGTTGAATATCTAAGTTGGGGCTCTTGCTGCACAAGCCCCACAATAATAATAATAAGAAGTATGTTGAAATTCTAAGCTGGGGATCTTGCTGCGCAAGTCCCACATTCATATTAAGACATATGTCGAATATCTAAGATGGGGCTCCTGCTGCGCAAGCCCCACAATAATAAGAAGCATGTTGAATATCTAAGCAGGGGCTCTTGCTGCACAAGCCCCACAAGAAGTATGTTGAATATCTTAGCTGGTGCTCTTGCTGCGCAAGCCCCACAATAATAATCTGAAAAAGTATGTTGAATATCTAAACTGGGGCCCCACAATAATAATAAGTATGTCGAATATCTAAGCAGGGGATGTTCCTGCGCAAGCCCCACAATAATAAGTATGTTGAATATATCTAAACTGGTGCTCTTGCTACGCAAGTCCCACAATATCAAATATGTTGAATATCTAAGCTGGGGATCTTCCTGTACAAGCCCCACAATAAGAAATATGTTGAATATCTAAGCTGGGGCTCTTGCTGCGCAAACCCCACAATAATAATAAGAAGTATGTCGAATATTTTTGTCTAACTTGTTGGGTTAGTGGTCAAAATGGTAATAAGAAGTATGTAGAATATCTAAGCTGGGGATCTTGCTGTACAAGCACCACAATAATAATAAGAAGAAGAATAAGAAGTAGTATGTTGAATATCTAAGCTGGGGGTCTTGCTGCACAAGCCCCACAATAATAAGTATGTTGAATATCTAAGCTGGGGCTCTTGCTGCGCAAACCCCACAATAATAATAAGAAGTATGTTGAATATCTAAGCTGGGGCACTTGCTCACAAGCCCCACAATAATAAGAAGAAGTATGTCGAAAATCTAAGATGGGGATCTTCCTGCGCAAGCCCAACAATAATAATTATGTTGAATATCTAAACTGGGGATCTTCCTGCGCAAGCCCCACAATAATAATAAGAGGAAGTATGTCGAATATTTTTGTCTAACTTGTTGGGTTAGTGGTCAAAATGGTAATAAGAAGTATGTAGAATATCTAAGCTGGGGATCTTGATTCGCAAGCCCCACAATAAGTAGTATGTTGAATATCTAAGCTGGGGCTCTTTCTGTGCAAGCCCAACAATAATAAGATGAAGTATGTCGAATATCTAAGCTGGGGCTCTTGCTGCGCAAGCCCAACAATAATAAGAATGAGTATGTCAAATATCTAAACTGGGGCTCTTGCTGCACAATCCCCACAAAAATAATAATAAGAAGATGTATGTTGAATTTCTAAGCTGGGGCTCCTGCTGCGCAAGCCCCACAATAATAAGAAGCATGTTGAATATCTAAGCTGGGGCTCTTGCGGCACAAGCCCCACTAAGTATGTTGAATATCTTAGCTGGTGCTCTTGCTACGCAAGTCCCACAATAAGAAATATGTTGAATATCTAAGCTGAGGCTCTTGCTGCGCAAGCCCCAAAATAATAATAATAAGTATGTCAAATATTTGTGTCTAACTTGTTGGGTTAGTGGTCAAAATGGTAATAAGAAGTATGTAGAATATCTAAACTGGGGCTCTTGCTGCACAATCCCCACAATAATAATAAGAAGAAGTATGTCGAATTTCTAAGCTGGGGATCTTGCTGCGCAAGTCCCACATTCATATTAAGACGTATGTCGAATATCTAAGCTGGGGATCTTGCTTTGCAAGCCCCACAATAAGTTGTATGTTGAATATCTAAGCTGGGGCTCTTGCTGTGCCAGCCCCAAAATAATAAGAAGCATGTTGAATATCTAAGCTGGGGCTCTTGCTGCACAAGCCCCACAAGAAGTATGTTGAATATCTTAGCTGGTGCTCTTGCTGCGCAAGCCCCACAATAATAATCTGAAAAAGTATGTTGAATATCTAAACTGGGGCCCCACAATAATAATAAGTATGTCGAATATCTAAGCAGCGGATGTTCCTGCGCAAGCCCCACAATAATAAGTATGTTGAATATATCTAAACTGGTGCTCTTGTTAGGCAAGTCCCACAATAACAAATATGTTGAATATCTAAGCTGGGGATCTTCCTGTGCAAGCCCCACAATAAGAAATATGTTGAATATCTAAGCTGGGGCTCTTGCTGCGCAAGCCCCACAATAAAAATAATAAGAAGTATGTTGAATATCTTTGTCTAACTTGTTGGGTTAGTGGTCAAAATGGTAATAAGAAGTATGTCGAATTTCTATGCTGGGGATCTTGCTGTGCAAGTTCCACATTCGTATTAAGACGTATGTCGAATATCTAAACTGGGGCTACTGCTGCGCAAGCCCCACAATAATAAGAAGCATGTTGAATATCTAAACTGGGGCTCTTGCTGCACAAGCCCCACAATAAGTATGTTGAATATCTTAGCTGGTGCTCTTGCTACGCAAGTCCCACAATAAGAAATATGTTGAATATCTAAGCTGGGGCTCTTGCTGCGTAAGGCCCAAAATAATAATCTGAAGAAGTATGTTGAATATCTAAGCTGGGGCTCCTGCTGCGCAAGCCCCACAATAATAAGAAGCATGTTGAATATCTAAGCTGGGGCTCTTGCTGCACAAGCCCCACAATAACAATAAGAAGAAGTATGTTGAATATTTTTGTCTAACTTGTTGGGTTAGTGGTCAAAACGGTAATAAGAAGTATATCGAATATCTAGGCTGGGGCTCTTGCTGCGCAAGCCCCACAATAATAATAATAATAATAATAATAATAATAACAAGAATAAGTATTATGTTGAATATCTAAGCTGAGGCTCTTGCTGCACAAGACCACAATATTAATAAGAATTATGTTGAATATCTAAGCTGGGGCTCTTGCTGCGCAAAACCCACAATAATAATAAGAGCTATGTTGAATATCTAAGCTGGGGCTCTTGCTGCGCAAGCCCCACAATATTAAGTATGTTGGATATCTAAGCTGGGGCTCTTGTTGCGCAAGCCCCACAATAAGAAATATGTTGAATATCTATGCTGGGGCTCTTGCTGCGCAAGCCCCACAATAGTAATAAAAATAAGAAGAAGTATGTCGAATATCTAAGATGGGGCTCTTGCTGCGCAAGCCCCACAATAATAAATATGATGAATATCTAAGCTGGGGCTCTTGCTGTGCAAGCCCCACAATAATAATAATAATAATAATAAGAAGAAGAAGAAGTATGTCGAATATTGTTGTCCAACTTGTTGGGTTAGTGGTCAAAACGGTAATAAGAAGTATGTCGAATATCCAAGCTGGGGCTCCTGCTGCACAAGCCCCACAATAAGAAGTATGTAGAATATATAAACTGGGATTCTTGCTGCGCAATCCCCACAATACTAATACTAATAATATGAAGAAGAAGTACACTACCGGTCAAAAGTTTTAGAACACCTACTCATTCGACTGTTTTTCTTTATTTTTACTATTTTCTACATTGTAGAATAATAGTGAAGACATCAAAACCATGAAATAACACATATGGAATCATGTAGTAACCAAAGAAGTGTTAAACAAATCAAAATATATTTTATATATACTTACTGCGCATGCCCCACAATAATAAAAACTAGTAAGTTGAATATCTAAACTGGGGCTCTTGCTGAGCAAGCCCCACAATAATAAGAAGAAGTATGTCGAATATTTTTGTCTAACTTGTTGGGTTAGTGGTCAAAACGGTAATAAGAAGTATGTTGAATATCTAAGCTGGGGCTCTTGCTGCGCAAACCCCACAATAATACGTACAGTGGGGGAAAAAAGTATTTAGTCAGCCACCAATTGTGCAAGTTCTCCCACTTAAAAAGATGAGAGAGGCCTGTAATTTTCATCATAGGTACACGTCAACTATGACAGACAAAATGAGGAAAAAAATTCCTGAAAATCACATTGTAGGAATTTTTATGAATTTATTTGCAAATTATGGTGGAAAATAAGTAGTTTGGTCAATAACAAAAGTTTCTCAATACTTTGTTATATACCCTTTGTTGGCAATGACACAGGTCAAACGTTTTCTGTAAGTCTTCACAAGGTTTTCACACACTGTTGCTGGTATTTTGGCCCATTCCTCCATGCAGATCTCCTCTAGAGCAGTGATGTTTTGGGGCTGTCGCTGGGCAACACAGACTTTCAACTCCCTCCAAAGATTTTCTATGGGGTTGAGATCTGGAGACTGGCTAGGCCACTCCAGGACCTTGAAATGCTTCTTACGAAGCCACTCCTTCGTTGCCCGGGCGGTGTGTTTGGGATCATTGTCATGCTGAAAGACCCAGCCACGTTTCATCTTCAATGCCCATGCTGATGGAAGGAGGTTTTCACTCAAAATCTCAAAATACATGGCCCCATTCATTCTTTCCTTTACACGGATCAGTCGTCCTGGTCCCTTTGCAGAAAAACATGATGATGTTTCCACCCCCATGCTTCACAGTAGGTATGGTGTTCTTTGGATGCAACTCAGCATTCTTTGTCCTCCAAACACGACGAGTTTAGTTTTTACCAAAAAGTTCTATTTTGGTTTCATCTGACCATATGACATTCTCCCAATCCTCTTCTGGATCATCCAAATGCACTCTAGCAAACTTCAGACGGGCCTGGACATGTACTGGCTTAAGCAGGGGGACACGTCTGGCACTGCAGGATTTGAGTCCCTGGCGGCATAGTGTGTTACTGATGGTAGGCTTTGTTACTTTGGTCCCAGCTCTCTGCAGGTCATTCACTAGGTCCCCCCGTGTGGTTCTGGGATTTTTGCTCACCGTTCTTGTGATCATTTTGACCCCACGGGGTGAGATCTTGCGTGGAGCCCCAGATCGAGGGAGATTATCAGTGGTCTTGTATGTCTTCCATTTCCTAATAATTGCTCCCACAGTTGATTTCTTCAAACCAAGCTGCTTACCTATTGCAGATTCAGTCTTCCCAGCCTGGTGCAGGTCTACAATTTTGTTTCTGGTGTCCTTTGACAGCTCTTTGGTCTTGGCCATAGTGGAGTTTGTAGTGTGACTGTTTGAGGTTGTGGACAGGTGTCTTTTATACTGATAACAAGTTCAAACAGGTGCCATTAATACAGGTAACGAGTGGAGGACAGAGGAGCCTCTTAAAGAAGAAGTTACAGGTCTGTGAGAGCCAGAAATCTTGCTTGTTTGTAGGTGACCAAATACTTATTTTCCACCATAATTTGCAAATAAATTCATTAAAAATCCTACAATGTGATTTTCTGGATTTTTTTCCCTCAATTTGTCTGTCATAGTTGACGTGTACCTATGATGAAAATTACAGGCCTCTCTCATCTTTTTAAGTGGGAGAACTTGCACAATTGGTGGCTGACTAAATACTTTTTTTCCCCAGTGTATGTTGGATATCTAAGCTGGGGCTCTTGCTGCGCAAGCCCCACAATAATAAATATGATATAAGAGTGTGCAATACTATCATCAAGGCAAAGGGTGGCCATTTGAAGAATCTCAAATATAAAATATATTTTGATTTGTTTAACACTTTTTTTGTTAATACATGATTCCATGTGTTATTTCATAGTTTTGATGTCTTCACTATTATTCTACAATGTAGAACATAGTAAAAATAAAGAAAAACTCTTGAATGAGTAGGTGTTCTAAAACTTTTGACCGGTAGTGTATGTCGAATATCTAAGATGGGGCTCTTGCTGCGCAAGCCCCACAATAAGAATAAGTATTTTGAATATCTAAGCTGGGGCTCTTGCTGCGCAAGCCCCACAATAAGTAGTATGTAGAATATCTAAGATGGGGCTTTTGCTGCGAAAGCCTCCAAATAATTATGCACTTTCTAAATTGGCCTACAAATACATACACCATATGCATTGTGACAGCATGGTATACCAGGGATACCGGACACTCACACAAAAACCGGGAAAATAAACTACAAAAAATAACAGCTGATGAAACTGTGGGTTTGCACAATTGCAGAATTTCTGCACAAACTGTCAGAAACCGTCTCAGGGAAGCTAATCTGCATGCTCGTTGTCTTCACCAGGGTCTTGACCAAGGGTAGTCGGTGCTGTTCAAGATGAGGAAGGATGATTTTATTTTTTTATATGAACATGGCCTTATTTCTATTACAGCATATTTGATGACTGTCATTCATATTCCATTCACCCAGCTCAATGTATAAACAATATAGGTTTAGGCTACTACATGATACTAACATTTTCCCTGTACCCATCATGAGGTTACTACAACCTAGCCTATGAATTAAAGTTTACAACGTAGGTGCGCAGGTCGAGAGAATTGAGTAATCAAGGTGACAGACAGTGACACATTCAATACCGCCTTGTACACTCTTGCCTGAATCTAGCTGATCTAGGGTGTAATCATTAGTCCAACAGTTGCAAATTAGTTTTTATTGGACAAATTCAGGTATGTTTATCCCCGTTTAAGAAATGTTTTTCTACAGAATCGGCGCAATGAATACATCCCTGATCAGACGCAAACACAGTTCACTTTCATAGCAGCCACATACAAACAGCTCGTTGTATATATAGTTCCTTCTCGCATCTATCTACTACGCACTCTCCTCCTCTCACCTTTTCCCTTCGCATGTGGACTTCAGTGCACAACACATCAGCTGTCTGTGACCAGGCGAAAAAATATTTCCAAGCCAAACCGTCATATCATGTCTGCTAACCGCTATACACAGCCCCTACATTGTTGTCACGTCATAGTCAACATAGCTACTAGAGCTAACGTGTTAGTAAACCCGTTACAATCATGCAGTCCAGTCAGCAGCAAGCAGTTTAGTAGTTACACCCACAGGCCCCGGTGGCAATAAATGAATAAAACCAAAAGCTTACCTTGACTTGGAAAAGTTCCAGTGTTGGATAGCCAGCTAGCTAACATAGCATCCCTCTCTGTTGGAGCTGGGTGTTTGAGTAGGCTAAACTAGCTAGCTGCATTCGATGCTAGTTAAGCAAGTAAAAGTGAAAAAATATATACTACGAAATCTCTCTAGAAATTAATTTGTTTAAAACAGTTCAATTATTGTCTCTCTCTTTGAGTCAACTACTCACCACATTTTATGCACTGCAGTGCTAGCTAGCTGTAACTTATGCTTTCAGTACTAGATTCATTCTCTGATCCTTTGATTGGGTGGACAACATGTCAGTTCATGCTGCAAGAGCTCTGATAGGTTGGAGGACGTCCTTCGAAAGTTGTCATAATTACGGTTTAAGTCTTTTGAACGGAGTGAGAACCATGAGCCTCCTAGGTTTTGTATTGAAGTCAAGACAGAAGCTAGCTGTCCTCCGGGTACACCATGGTTCTACCCTACATAGTGCTGCTGAGGCTACTGTAGAACTTCATTGCAAAATAGTGTTTTAATCAATTATTTGGTGACGTGAATACATTTAGTGTCGTTTTATCTGAAATACATACCTTTAATGTTAAAAAAAGAAAAAAGAAAAAATGAAATTCACTGAGGATGGTCCTCCCCTGAGGAGCTTCCACTGGTCTTGACCTGACTGCAATTCGGCGTCGAAACCGACTTCAGTGGACAAATGCTCACCGTCGCTGACCACTGGTACACTGGAGAAGTGTGCTCTTCAACGATGAATCCCGATTTCAACTGTACCGGGCAGATGGCAGACATGGCGCCATGTGCGCGAGCGGTTTGCTGATGTCAAGGTTGTGAACAGAGTGCCCCATGGTGGTGGTGGGATTATGTTATGGGCAGGCATAAACTACGGACAACGAACACAATTGCATTTCATCGATGGCAATTTGAATGCACAGAGATACCGTGACGAGATCCTGAAGCCCATTGTCGTGCCATTAATCCGCTGCCATCACCTCCTGTTTCAGCATGATAATGCACAGCCCCATGTTGCAAGGATCTGTACACAATTCCTGGAAGCTGAAAATGTCCCAGTTCTTCCATGGCCTGCATATTCCCCAGACATGTCACCCATTGAGCATGTTTGGGATGTTCTGGATCGACATGTACGACAGCATGTTCCAGTTCCTGTCAATATCCAGGACTGGGACAACATTCCACAGGCCACAATCAACTGCCTGATCAACTCTATGCGAAGGAGATGTCGTGCTGCATGAGCCTTTTTTTTTTTCAAGGTATCTGTGACCAACAGATGCATATCTTTATTCCCAGTCATGTGAAATCCATAGATTAGGGCATAATACATTTAAATTGACTGATGTCCTTATATGAACTGTAACTCTGTAAAATCTTTGAAATTGTTGCATGTTGCGTTTATATTTTTGTTTAGTGTAGAAAACAAAAGGCTCATACATGCTTATAACAAGTTATAAAGCATTATAGCTACAGGCTTTAAAAGTTACAGATAAAACAAATAAATCATGTTTTCCTTCCTCAATTTAACCTTTATCTTATGTTTTTCAAAACTCTTTCTGGAAATAAATGGGTTCAGACTTGACACTGGAGCCAGTCGATTTTGCACTGAGAGCTTTTGTTGTTGTTTTCCAGCTCGTAACAGTTGGAAGAGGAGTTATTTTGATACCAAGAAGGCCACAGCACCTTTAGAAGTCACACTGAAAAGTCTTCGTCAAGAGCTGGAGATATTCTACAATAACATCCTACACCAGCTAAAGGCGAGGGATGGAGGAGGCAAGCCCAGATGGCAGGGAAGAATGTCCAGCACCAAAGTAACAATAGTCCTTCAACTGAAGTGTGCTCCCCTCCCCAAACATTTAAAAGCATTGGATTGGTTGAAGCATTGGCTAGATAGTTTCCACCACATTTCTTTTACTTTTAAATCTGAGAAGGAAGTGGAGTTTTTTACTTTTAAATCTGAGAAGGAAGTGAACAAGTGCACACTTCTGCAGATTATTGGGACGCAAAGTTGATTCACTGTTTAAGGTTCAGTAAGGCCATAGCAACAATGTCAGTTTGACTGTGCCACAATGTCCACTAGAGGGAATCAGTTCATATTGTGGTCAATACAGACCATGTCATTATTATAGACAGTGGTGTAAAAATACTTTGAAGTACTACTTAAGTAGTTTTTTGTGTGTATCTGTACTTTACTATTTCTAATTTGGACAACTTTTACTTTACTACATGTACTTTTTACTCGAATCATTTTGCTTGACACCCAAGTACTCGTTACATTTTGAATGCTTTGCAGGACAGAAATTGTTAAATTCACACACTTATCAAGAGAACATCCCTGGTCATCTCTACTGCCTCTCTGGCGGACTCACTAAACACAAACGCTTTGTTTGTAAATTATGTCGGAGTGTTGTTTTCTTTGATAGCCAGGGGCAAAAAAAACAAAAACATTTTGCCATCTGGTTTGCTTATTGTAAGGAATTTGAAATTATTTATACTTTTACTTTTGATACTTCAAGTATATTTAAAATCAAATACTTTTAGACTTTTACTCAAGTAGTATTTTACTTGAGTCATTTTCTATTAAGGTATCTTTACTTTTACTCAAGTATGACAATAGGGTACTTTTTCCACCATGTTCAGAATGAGCTCATTATCCAGATAATGACAGAGAGCCATGAGATTGACAACCTAAGGAGGAAGGTGGATGATGCCAAGATGAAGCTTGTCACAGAGATCAAGGTATTAAAATAATATTTATTGGAATTTGACTCCCTCATAACTCTACAAATGTAAATACAATTCTCCTTTATTTTTCCATCCCTGTTTATCTCATGGGGAAAAACTACAGTATGTTATTTAAGGCCTCAGTTGAAAAATATTTGATCTTGTGAGAAGAAGGCAGAAATGTCTGTTATCAACTTTTACATGGGGCTTGGGCAGGAGGTGGAGAGCTTTGCTGGACAGACAGTGCTCAATGTTTTCTCATTGATGTACTTCCTTGTTTATTTCCTTCTAGCTCAGGAAGCAGGCTGCCACAGAGCTGAGAGCCTTGAAGGCTGAGCTGGCCCAGAAGAAGACCCAGACATCTCTCTCTGGATCCATGGGCTTTGGAGCAGGAGCATGGGACAGACCACAGGCTCAAAGCATCCCTAACTGAGCCACATCTACCAGTACCACAGTGGCCTTATTCCAAAAGACAATGTTTGCTTTTTGCTTATTCCAAATGATATATTTTTTAAAGGTCACATTTAAAATTGTGATGTCTATTTGCAATGCATATCATGTGAAAGCCATGATTTCACAGTTTAATACAAACAATTGTGTTTGTTGTTTGGTAAACTGTCGTGTCCCAGTTGCAGCGAGGAGGATCTTATTTTATAATTTACCTGTGTTGATACTACCATCTTAAAATCTTAAGTATGAAAACAAATATTTGTACAGTATCAAAGCAACAGTATTCACCATGAATAAGGGCTTAAGAAATTCCGTAACTGTTTCATGATGGAATTTTCTTCAGAAGTCACAGCGGTTTTAGGATGGACTATTTCTGAAGCGTAAACATTTACATCACATTTTAATCTTAGCAGCTCTTATTGAAAGTGACTGCATTCATCTAAAGTAGGTAAAACAACCACATATCCCGATCATTGCAAGTAAAACCGCTATCTGCAAAATCAGTGTTCGTGAGAGTAAAAGAAAATACAAGTACAACAGTTAAGTGTTGTTAGTAGGGGTTATGTGTTTTAAAAAGTCTACTGGCCTATAGTATTTATTCTGCAAAGCCAAATTTGTTTTGTGAGATTCAGACAGTGGCACAACGCTGTGTTTGACAATCAACCATTTTGAGTGAATCTGTGATGGCATGAATCTTAGTACAAAACATATCCCCCCTGTTAAAGTGGCTCATGTTTTTACAATTGCAATAAAAAAAAATAAAAAAATGAAATAGAAGTGCAAGTACGTATCCCTGAGTTCAAGAGGAAGACACTTTATGGTTCCTCCGTCCCACTTCTGTCCTCAGACAAAAGCATCTATTGACTTAGCAACAAATAGCTGTGGGATCCGGGGGAAAGGCAGTCTCTCAGCACGGAGCGTCTTGGCAACCCATGAGGGCATTCCACATGTCTCGACTCTGTTCCTGGGCAACAGGGTTGTTGCTGTAGTCCAGGAGGTTGCCGCACCACATGCCCGTGCCCTTCAGGCCCAGGTCTCGTACATAGGCCACCTTCAGGGAAATGCTTTCTGGGTCGTCGTACCACACCTGATGGATCTGTCCCCTTTGGTCCTGCGGATGATATTTCAGTTCACATACTCGGTTAACGAGGAAGATAATGCAGCCTTGGCGAGAGTTCAACTTGAGCCAGAGTGTTTTATTGGATTTGGAGGAAGCGATTTGTTGTGAGGTGACTGTGTTAGTTCAATCTAACGGCACTGCAGTCAAATAGCCTTTTCCCCGAAATGGCTGCAGCTTGTGTTGAGTTGTCACTTGTCACCAGCAGCCCAGACAAATGGGCTTAGGCTACTCTTACTCTTTCTATACACGTTCTATACAATGTGTCTCCATACCTTGTAGTTGTAGTAGGGAGCCAGCTGGACCTCGTCCCACAGCCTCCCAGACATAGAGCCGTTGATCTGTTTCATCATAAAGCTGTAAGGGATCTGACGGCCAGCTGCATCGCTACAAGGCGCGCCCCGGAACGGAACCTTGGCTAAGGAGCACACCCCTTCCTAATTAGAGAAAAAGACACACATAGTTTAGAGATACAGCAGGACAATGTTCTCTCTAATTTAAAGCGCTGTCAAATTGGTTGATGATTATTGCTAGACAGCCATTTAAGTCTTGCCATAGATTTTCAAGCCGATTTAAGTCAACTGTAACCAGGCTACTCAGGAACATTCAATGTCGTCTTGGTAAGCAACTTGGTCAAGTTATTGTCCTGCTGAAAGGTTAATTTGTCTCCCAGTGTGTTAGAAAGCAGAATGAACCAGGTTTTCCTCTAGGATTCTGCCTGTGCTTAGCTCTATTCCGTTTATTTTTTATTATAAAACTCCCTAGTCCTTGCCGATGAAAAGCATACCCATAACATGCAGACACCACCATTCTTGAAAATATGATGAGTGGTACTCAGTGATGTGTTACAGTATGTTGGATTTGACCCAAACATAACGCTTTGCATTCAGGACACAAAGTTAATTTGTTAGACACATTTTTGGCAGTTTTATGGTAGTGCCTTGTTGCAAACAGGATGCATATTTTGGAATATTTTTCTTCTGTAGATGCTTCCTTCTTTTCACTCTGTAAATTAGGTTAGTATTGTGGAGTGAGTAACTACAATGTTGTTGATCCATTCTCAGTTTTCTCCTATTACAGCCATTAAACTCGGTAACTGTTTTAAAGTCACCATTGGCCTCATGATGAAATCGCTGAGCGGTTTCCTTCCTCTCCGGCACTATCGGTGTATTGATACACCATCGAAAGCGTTATTAATAACTTCACCATGCTCAAAGAGATATTCAATGTCTGCTTAAAAAAAGTAAAACATTAAAACCTATCTACCAATAGGTACAATTCTTTGCGAGGTTGAATCTGTGTTTGAAATTCACTGTGACTTGTTAAGCACATTTTCGCTCCTGAACATACAGTGCATTCAGGAAGTATTCAGACCCGTTGACTTTATCCACTTTGTTACGTTACAGCATTATTCTAAAATGGATAGTTTTTTCCCTCATCAATCTACACACAATACCTCATAATGACTAAACAAAATGTTAGAAAACTTATTACAAATAAAACATGGAAATATCACATTTATGTAAGTATTCAGTACTTTGTTGAAGCACCTTTGTCAGCGATTACAGCCTCAAGTCTTCTTGGGTATGGCGCTACAAGTATGGCACACCTGTATTTGGGGAGTTTCTCCCATTCTTCTCTGCAGATCCTCTCTAGCTCTGTCAGGTTGGATGGGGAGCGTCGCTGCACAGCTGTTTTTCAGGTCTCTCCAGAGATGTTTGATCGGGTTCAAGTCGGAGCTCTGGCTGGGCCACTCGAGGACATTCAGAGACTTGTCCCGAAGCCACTCCTGCGTTGTCTTGGCTGTATGATTAGGGTCGTTGTCCTTTTGGAAGGTGAACCTTCGCCGCAGTCTGAGCGCCCTGGAGCAGGTTTTAATCTTTCCTCGAGCCTGACTAGTCTCCCAGTCCCTGCCACTGAAAAACAACCCAACAGCACGACGCTGCCACCACCATGCTTCACCGTAGGGATGGTGCCAGGTTTCCAGAGAATCTTGTTTTTCATGGACAGAGTCCTTTAGGAGCCTTTTGGCAAACTCCAAGCGGGCTGTCATGTGCCTTTTACTGAGGAGTTGCTTCCGTCTGGCCACTCTACCATAAAAGCCTGATTGGTGGAGTGCTGCAGAGATGGGAGAACCTTCCAGAAGGACAACCATCTCCACAGAGAAACTCTGGAGCTCTGTCAGAGTGACCAGCTCCCCCGATTGCTCAGTTTGGCCAGGCAGCCAGCTCTAGGAAGAGTCTTGGTGGTTCCAAACTTCTTCCATTTAACAATGATGAAGGCCACTGTGTTCTTGGGGACCTTCAATGCTGCAGAAATGTTTTGGTACCCTTCCCCAGTTCTGTGACCCGACACAATCCTGTCTCGGAGCTCTACGGACAATTCCTTCGACCCCATGGCTTGGTTTTTGCTCTGACATGCACTGTCAACTGTGAGACTTCATTTAGACAGGTGTGTGCCTTTCCAAATCATGTCCAAACAATTGAATTTACCACAGGTGGACTCCAATCAAGTTGTAGAAACATCAAGGATGATCAATGGAAACAGGATGCACTGGAGCTCAATTTCAAGTCTCATAGCAAAGGGTCTGAATACTTATGTATCTGTTTTTTATTTGTAATACATTTGCTAACATTTCTAAAAACCTGTTTTCGCTTTGTCATTATGGGGTATTGTGTGTCGATTTGTTTATTTAATCCATTTTAGAATAAGGCTGTAACCTAACAATGTTGGAAAAGGGAAGGGGTCTGAATAATTTGCGATTGCACTGTAATTCCACTTTGACATTATGAGGTTGTGTGTGTAGGCCAGTGACCAAAAAAAACTATTTAATTCATTTTAAATTCAGGTTGTAACAAAATGTGGAAAAGTCAAGGGGTGTGAATACTTTGAGGGCACTGTAAGCGCAAACTTGAAAGTTGTAAGAATTTTGTACAACTTCTGGTACGTGTTTACTGTGAACACTGAGGCTGTACCTGCTTTAAGTTAAAGTTTTAACAGTGGCCAAGTAGGCTACTGTGGCTATTTGATCATAATGTAGGCCTACCAGAATGGCCTATCAACAAAAACAATGGCAAAAATGCATCCCATAACATTTTAACATGGAAATAGCTATTGAAATAGCTGTTCCATGATACAGCCTACAGTAACATCCAATATGTGTTCAATGTAGGCCTCCATTCCATGAGACTTCAGAAAACATCCTGACAAAATGTATGCTACCCTCTGCCTATTGGCTTCTTAGCTTATTCAAGCCTGTCTCAAAATACAACACTGCCCCTTTAAGACATAAAAAAAGCTCTTTACCTGACTCTTTTAAAGATGGCAAGAAATGTACATGTTTTGTGCTCTTGTAGGAAGTAATCACTCCCCCATTGCTGACCAGAAATAAGCTACACCTGGGCTAATAACTCACTAACTAGTAAAGAATATGAACAAATGTGCACACATGGCTACATGCGGCTCTGATCTCAAAACAAGTGCATCTATTCGCGATCGCTCGTGCCTGTGAATGCAATAGAATCCTCAGTTGATGCGCTCTGCCTAAAACAAAATCACAGACTGTCTTGCATAGTTAGATTTGTTTCGGTATGTTGCATTGAAAATGGCTAATATGTTGATTCGATCACAATTCCCACAGTAGAGGGAAACATTGATAGTGTAAACTAACAAGGCATACACTCTAGTAAAGTGCGTCTCTGCACGGGCTGGTATTTCTTATGCGTGGCAGTCATGGGGGAGCTGCACTCAGCTTAGAGGGAACATTGCAGCAGGATAACATTATATAATAGCAATACACTGTCTAACAACTATAATGTACATTTTTCTATGCACTCACTGGAGCACTTCGCGATTGTCTTTCAATGAAAAGCGTGTTATAAATCAAATGTATTGTTTTATTACTAACTATATTCATAGGGTATTCACCTGGGAGAAGTCGAGACAAGGGTAATCATAGCCATACCATGGTACTCCCATCACAAGCTTCTTTGGATCCATCTTCATCGCCAAATATTGGTCGTACGCTGGAATAAAAGACAGAAAGCCATGGCAGGTTAGCATTAGTATATTCAGCATGACAAGTAGTGGCTAGGGATCTGTAGCTTTTTGCTTTAAGTCAAATAACTGCAATAAAATGGCTTCTGGTTTGGGCTTATAGAGGTCCTTCTCAACAGATGACTTACCTGTCAGTGTCTGATTGAATGGGGCGTTCGCCATCGCAACACAGTTGCCCCATATCTGACTCTGCTCGTCATAGGACATCACAAATAGCAAGTCGCAGGACTCGGCAATGGCGGCGTAGTCGTAGCAGCGCCTGTCTATACACTTGGGCGACCAGGCAACATCAAATGACACCTGAGAAAGAGTCAGGAGAAGAGGATAAGTTAAGGGCACGGAGGAAGCTATTCATTAGGGCAGTGGTTTTCAAATCTCTCCTCTGGGACCCCCAGATATTCCACACTATTGTTGTAGCCCTGAACTAGCTCATCTGATAAACCTAATCAAAGGTTTGATAATTAGTTGACAAGTTGAATCAGGTGTGCTAGCTCTGGAATAGCTCAAATACATGGAATGGCTGGGTGTCCCCGAGGAGAGGTTTGAAAACCCCTGCATTAGGGCACACTGTAGTATTATTGGACTGTTTAATGTAGTCCCTCCCTGTTTCAGTTCATTTTCTTCTGTTTGGTGCCTGATGAGTGTTTTCAGTTGTGACACCCAAAAAAGCTTAGGTATGCAGATTGTAAGGTTGGATTAATCAATTTACTTTTAACCAAAATGTTGTATATGACCTGCTTTCATTTGTGAATTCGGAGCGTAATTAGCCTACATGCCAACATATCTCTTACACCAAGTTATTGGTCTGGTATGACTCGGATACACTATTGTATTCACCTGGGAACCTGGGATCTCTCTATGAAAGGCCTCAGTGGTCTCTTTGACGAGTGCTGTCAAGGCGTAGTACTCTGGGGAGGAGTCGGCCACCTCTTGCTCAATGTCTATGTTGATGCCATCCATAAACTGCCTCTTGGCCAAGTCCACTTTGCCTGTGATCCATGCTGTCCTGTTGGCAGGGTCAACCATTTCAGGGATGGACACATCACCTACAGTAAAATAATGTACAACAATGACAAATGCATTTAGGATTAATTCACATGCACGGCTCTTATAGGGCTAGGCGATATATATAATTATTTCGATTAATTCAAATGTCAGTTTTAGCGCGATGTTCCAAATGCCTGTATAGCAAGAATCAATTTTTAAAAAGCCAAAAAAGCTCAATTTTGTTTAAAAAATTGTTTTTCAATATAGCCAATTTTGACCTTGTAGCTGGCCTATCTAGGGGGATATCACTCAATTCTGCCTCCAGGACAAGACTCATGACAATAAACATCAACCTGCTCATTACTAGTGGATGTGCCGTGCATTGTGCATGGTTCTGGTTAAATTTAACAAAACATTTATTTTCATAGACTTCAAAGCCAGACCAGTGATTATTGCAAAAAAGTATGTTAAACTACTTTGATTATTTTATTGTTGGGTATTATGGTTGTGGAAGGCTTACAGTGTCTTCAGAAAGTATTCATTCCACATTATGTTGTGTTAAAGCCTGAATTCGAAATTAATTTTAATTTATTTTATTTCTCACCCATCTACACACAACACCCCATAATGGCAAAGTGAAAACATGTTTTTAGAAATGTTTGCAAATTTATTGAAAATGAAATTGAAATAAACGACATTGCCAAAAGTATGTGGACACCTGCTTGTCAAACATCTCATTCCAAAATCATGGGCATTGATATGGAGTTTGTCCCCCCTTTGCTGCTATAACAACCTCCACTCTACTGGGAAGGCTTTCCACTAGATGTTGGAACATTGCTGCAGGGACTTACTTCCATTCAGCCACCACAGCATTAGTGAGGTCGGGCACTGATGTTGGGCGATAAGGCCTGGCTTGAAGTCGGCATTTCAATTCATCCCAAAGGTGTTCGATGGGGTTGAGGTCAGGGCTCTGTGCAGGCCAGTCTCGACAAACCATTTCTGTATGGACCTCACTTGGTGCACAATGGCTTTGTCATGCTGAAACAGGAAAGGGCCTTCCCCAAACTGTTGCCAAAAAGTATCGTCTAGAATGTCATTAAGTTAAGATTTCCCTTCACTGGAACTAAGGGGCCTAGCCCGAACCATGAAAAACAGCTCCAGACCATTATTCCTCCTCCACCAAACTTTACAGTTGTCACCTTACATTGGGGCAGGTAGCGTTCTCCTGGCATGCGCCAAACCCAGATTAGTTTGTCAGACTGCCAGATGGTGAAGCGTGATTCATCACTCCAGAGAACGTGTTTCCACTGTTCCAGAGTCCAATTGCGGCGAGCTTTACACCACTCTAGCCGACGCTTGGCATTGCACATGGTGATCTTAGGCTTGTGTCCGGCTGCTCGGCCATGGAAACCTATTTCACGAAGCTCCCGACGAACAGTTCTTCTGCTGACATTGCTTTCAGAGGCAGTTTGGAACTCAGTAGTGAGTGTTGCAACCGAGGCCAGATGATTTTTAGGTGCTACACGCTTCAGCACTCGGTGGTCCCGTTCTGTGAGCTTGTGTGGCCTACCACTTTACGGCTGAGCCATTGTTGCTCCTAGACGTTTCCACTTCACAATAACAGCACTTACAGTTGACCAAGGCAGCTCTAGCAGGGCAGACATTTGACAAACTGACTTGTTGGAAAGGTGGCATCTTATGACGGTGCCACGTTGAAAGTCACTGAGCTCTTCAGTAAGGCCATTCTACTGTCAATGTTTGTCTATGGCTGTGTATTCGATTTTATACACCTGTCAGCAATGGTGTGGCTGAAATAGCCAAATCCACTAATCTGAAGGGGTGTCCACATACTTTTGTATATATAATGTACTAGCTAACGATAAGAGAGTGGCTAAATGCTAGCAGCACATTGAAGGGACACTAATAGCTAAAAGTTTTCAAGGGGCATTAACGTTAGTCACTACAAAGAGAAGAACATTCTCATTAAAGGACTGACATTGTTAATAGCCATAAAGTGATAAAGTGGGCTTGAGGTAACAGTAAGGGTTTAGGTGTGCACATTTCTTTTTTCCTGTGATAAGTCTGTACTGTCTAACAACAGAAGTAGTATTTTTTTGTAATCTCTTACAAATGTTTGTTTACATGGATTAAGGTCTTCGAGGAAATGTTTTACTTTCATACAAAGTTATATTTTTCTACAGTCAGTCAGTAAAGGAAATACAGATATTGAAGTATTATTTTTGCTAAAGCAAAGTTACATATTTTATTTTGGTGGTTTTTGTCAAGGTTACGGAACCGGTTCCATAGGTTAAGTCACACTCATTGTGTACAGGATTATGCGTAAATATTGTCTTGGTGTCTATTTTATGTGTTACAAAAAGTAGGCAGAGGTTCATTCATATTTGTATGTGAAGCATTTATTGTATACAGTGCATTTGGAAAGTATTCAGACCCCTTCCCTTTTTTTCCACATTTTGTTACGTTACAGCCTTATTCTAAAATGGATTAAATAAAACATTTTCCTCAAACTACACACAATACCCCATTACGACAAAGCGTTTTTGAAATGTTTGCACATTTATAAAAACAAATACCCTAAGTATTCAGACCCTTTGCTATGAGACTCTTGTGATTAATTGAGCTCAGGTGCATCCTGTTTCTACAACTTGATTGGAGTCCACCTGTGGTAAATTCAATTGATTGGACACAGTTGATAGTGCATGTCAGAGCAAAAACCAAGCCATGAGGTCTAAGGAATTGTCCGTAGAGCTCCGAGACAGGATTGTGTCTAGGCACAGATCTTGGCAAGGGTAGCAAAAAATGTCTACAGCATACAAGGTCCCCAAGAACACAGTGGCTTCCATCATACTTTTTTGTTTTGTTTGTTTGTTTTACTTTTTACCACTTTTACTCCCCAATTTCATGACATCCAATTGGTAGTTACAGTCTTGTCCACATCACTGCAACTCCCGTACGGACTCGGGAGTGGCGAAGGTCGATAGCCATGCGTCCTCCGAAACACGACCTTGCCAAGCCGCACTGCTTCTTGACACACTTCTCGCTTAACCCGGAAGCCAGCCGCACCAATGTGTCTGAGGAAACACCGTACAGCTGGCGACCGAAGTCAGCGTGCATTCGCCTGGCCCGCCACAAGGAGTGTGATGGGATAAGGACATCCTGGCCAGCCAAACCCTCCCCTAACCCGGACGACGCTGGGCCAATTGTCCAACGCCTCATGGGTCTCCTAGTCGAGGCCAGTTGCTACACAGCCTGGGATCGAACCCGGGTCTGCAGTGCCTTAGACAGCCGTGCCACTCGGGAGGCACCGGCTTCCATCATTCTTAAATGGAAGACGTTTGGAACCACCAAGTCTCTTCCTAGAGCTGGCCGCCCAGTCAAACTGAGCAATCGGGGGAGAAGGGCATTGGTCAGGAAGGTGACCAAGAACCCGAAGGTCACTCTGACAGAGCTCCTCTGTGGAGATGGGAGAACCTTCCAGAAGGACAACCATCTCTGCAGCACTCCATCAGGCCTTTATTGTAGAGTGGCCAGACGGAAGCCACTCCTCAGTAAAAGGCACATGACAGCCCGCTTGGAGTTTGCCACAAGGCACCCAAAGGACTCTCAGACCACGAGAAACAAGATTCTCTGGTCGGATGAAACCAAGATTGAACTCTTTGGCATGAATGCCAAGTGTCACATCTGGAGGAAACCTGTCACCATCGATACGGTGAAGCATGGTGGTGGCAGCCTCATGCTGTGGGGATGTTTTTCAGCGGCAGGGACTGGGAGACCAGTCAGGATCGAGGGAAAGGTGAACGGAGCAAAGACCCTTGATGAAACCCTGCTCCAGAGCACTCAGGACCTCAGAATGGGGCGAAGGTTCACCTTCCAACAGGACAACAACCCTAAGCACACAGCCAAGACAACGCAGGAGTGGCTCCGGGACAAGTCTCTGAATGTCCTTGAGTGGCCCAGCCAGAGCCCGGACTTGAACCCGATCAAACATCTCTGGAGAGACCTGAAAAAGCTGTGCAGCGACGCTCCCCATCCAACCTGACGAGAGCTTGAGAGGATCTGCAGAGAAGAATGGGAGAAACTCCCAAAATAAAGGTGTGCCAAGTTTGTAGCGTCATACCGAAGAATGTAATCGCTGCCAAAGATGGTTCAACAAAGTACTGAGTAAAGGGTCTGAATACTTAAGTAAATGTGATATTTCCGGGGGGGGGTTTATTTTATAAATTTGCAAACATAAAAATAAATACAAATAAATGCCTTGTCATTATGGGATATTGTGTGTAGATTAATGAGGGGAAAAAACAATTTAATCAATTTTAGAATAAGACAGTAACGTAACAAAATGTGGAAAAAGTCAAGGGGTTTGAATACTTTCCGAATGCACTGTATATGTGGTTGCAATTTTGAAAAAAGGGTTTATTTTGTGTAAAAGGGACCCAGAGTATTGTGATTACACCGTTATTACCAACTCTAAACTTTCTATTCATTAAAAAAAGCAGAACAAAAGGGTTAATGAAAACAGAAGTCAAACCAAGATACTGTGAGAATCCCGAAACCCTGGTTCCCTTGTATTAATGTCCTCAGATAATTACATCTTTATATTTGGCATCCCACAAACAGGTTTAAACAAGTGTGCATAAAAGTTCACATTCATCAATAATAATAATAATAATAATAATAATAATATGCCATTTAGCGGACGCTTTTATCCAAAGCGACTTACAGTCATGTGTGCATAAATTTTTACGCATGGGTGGTCCCGGGGATCGAACCCACTACCCTGGCGTTACAAGCGCCATGCTCTACCAATTGAGCTACAGAGGACCACATCAAAATGGCTGAAGAACTGGAGGCCCAAGTACAGTCTGAGGCAAGAGGTAGAAAAGCAAGAAGTGAGGTTTGAAGATCAGGCAATGCTCCTTACCCAATTTAGAGATGAGCATCGTGAAACCCTCTACTTGGCTAAGACAGTTATTGAGAATCAAAGCAACGTAACATCATTGGCCCCCACTTTTTATGTTCCCAGAGATAAAAAAGATACCC